GCAGCCGCAAATGACTATCGAAAGCTGTTGAAATTGATGGAATTCAAATTAAAATCGAATATTTGGAAATAAACGAAAAAATTAACAATCAGTCGAAGCCAAACGAAAGACTGTGGGTACGAACTTGCTGCTGTGGTACTCGCACTGATGTTAGCGCTGCATTGCGCTACACAGTGTGTGGAGAAAACTGTGAAAGGCATTTTTACACCAGCAGAATGCATATAAAACGCGCAAAATATTTTTTAAATATTTTAATATGCCTTGCGCATAGTAGGCGTGGTGGTACGACTTCCTTAAAGATATGAAGCATTAAAATTTTATCTGGGAAAAGGGGAAGATAAAAAGAAAAGTGTGTAATTGAAAAGCAATATATTGTCTAATATATTAGGGGTATTCTCGGAGTCTTGCAAAGCCCTTGCGCCCTTGGGACAGCTTCAAAATCCGTGCGACGTCCAAGACTGTGATAATACCCTTATTTAGTTTTCTTTTTCGATACTTATTTTTATACTCTTCATCTACATTTCTTAGTTTCTTCGTCGTTTTCACTGCCATCTTCATATTCATATCTTTTCTCATCTTCAACTTCCTCTTTAATCTTTACCTTCATTTTCATCTCCATCCTCACCCCCATCTCAGTTTTTCAATTTTTTTTATCTTCATCTATTTCTTCACCTTCATATTCTCCTTAACATAAGCCCTATTCTTTATCGCAATCTTATACTTAATCTTAATCTTAATATTATTCTTAAGTTCAATCTATATTACTCTCAATCTAAATCTTGATCTTAACCTTAATCTTAATCTTAATCTTAATCTTAACCCTAATCTTAACATAAATCTTAACCTTAATCCCAATTTTAATTTTAATCTTAACTTCAATCTTAGTCTTCACCTTGATCAAGGTAAACTTGGAAAAGTCGTATAGGCTCAGTTCCGTTATCTCTGGCAAAGCTTCTGAAAAGGTGAGATTCCAAAAGCTCGAGTCTTGGAAGCTCAAAAAAAAACAAAAAAAAAGGCAAATAAATTCCTTCATCATTAGCTCTCAGCAATTAGCGCTCTAACTTTACACAAAGGACCAAAGTCCGCGGCCTAAATGAGCCCCTTAACAAGGGGCAGTTATAACACAAATGAAGGCATCTACAATTTTGCGTCGCCTACAAATGACAAGTGGTTCCCATGATAAGCGTTTTCAACGCACTCGGTGATTTGCCATTGCCTGCCGAGGGAGATGTTTCTCCGACCAGGAATTAAACCCAGTTCCTACCACTCCGTACGCATCACTCAGCTACGGCGGCCGCCAAATCTTCATTTTACATACAACGCAAATAAGTTTTAAAATATATTTATCGCATTTCTATCGTATCTCATCCTGTTACAGTTATAGTAAATTGCGCATAAAATTAGATCACTGTGGAAATTCCATAACACTTCCTACTTAAATTATCCAGTATAGAACAAATGCTGCTTTTGTTGTTAACATACATACATATGCACGTAAGTATGTATAGTTGTGAACCAGAAAATCCAAAACAACTGGAGTTTTCCAAACATTAACACAATCGCAACAATGTTCTAAATATGCAATAAATCGAGTAATGGGATAATTAAACAAAATACAATTGTTCGTAAAAAATATGATATGTATAAACAATTGTGAGCTTTAACACATTCACATGCTAGTGTCGATGTAAGCGGTTTTGGTTTTTTCTCCAACTGCTGATAAAACTCGGCACCTGTCACTGTTGCTGCTAATAAATTTTTTATTCAAAGTGTAAACGTCATAAATCGATTTGGAATTTTCACGCGAGAGAAACACAATTTGCCTCATTGTGTTAAATATTTGCGTCTGTCTGTCTGTCTGTCTGTCTGTCTGTCTCTTAGGTCAGATAGTCATGAAGTGTGCTATTTTTAGAAAATTGGAATTCATTAATTTGCCTGCACAATTGACAAGTTCAAATGATTTTATAGGCATGTGTGTGTGTGTGTGTGTGTGTTTTCTTCTTTGTTGCTTACTATGTACTTTATTTTACTTGTTGTTATTCTTTTTTTCTTGTTTTTTCCCCAGCAAGCTTTGTTACAAAAATATTGTTACAGCTAGAGTTCATGGCATATCTTATCTGCCCACAATCACCAGCACTTGGATTACGATTGCCAGCTGCCAGTGGCGGTTGACGTGTTGTTGTAAAGCCCCATTGTAAGCGTAGTGTTTTCCAAGCTTGGGTTATTCTACATTCCCCAGATGTGTGTTGTTGTTTTATTTCTTGCTTTATGTTTATTTTTTTTTTTGTTAGTTGTAGTCTGTTGTCAGCACAACTCAATAAAAAATGTAATAACTTCGTGACTAGTTAGCATTTATGTACATATTTATGTCTGCATTTTATTACATACACACATGTGTGGGTAACTAAATACGCGCATATGAGCTTCAAACAATATTTGAATAAAATTGCCAGCGCCGAAAGCACATACATATGTACATGCATACATACATACATATGTATGTGTGCAAGTGCTTAGAACTTAACAGCAACACTTAACTTTTCTGTCTCTACTCTGCGCTTATTCTCAAACTGGCTTTGCATTGGAAAACCCCAAAAACAGTTTACAAATCAGCCAGTGGCTACAATATTAGCACTCGCACAGTGTAAGAGTTGCGCTTACAAAGAGGTAAATACAAAAATGTTCTGTTAAGTTAACTTTAAGCTTTCTTGTGTGAAAACATGGTATACAAATATTTGGTATATATAAATACATATATATGAATTGACGCTCATGAGAATGCACATTTACTCTCAACGTAAAATAAATATCCATTCTCATGACTAATTAGATGGAAAAAAATTTGAGTGAATTTTTATTCTCAAGAGAATTATTCTCACCTTTTACTAGAACCTTCGAATTTAAGGAATATGCCCTAATTGGTTTTCAAGGCAATGAAGAAACCTTCGATAATGTTCGAAAGGATGCATTAAAATGAACATTCCTAGTTACTGGCATTCGGCGGCTCCTTGCTTGAGAGCAAAATAATCAAGGCCCAGGATTCACACTCCCAAGTCAGGCATGCAATTTAACCCTTCCTTTGGCTCTAGCTGGCATGTAAATGTTGTTCTGAGCTCACTTAAACCAAAAGTAATAAAGCTAGTCGTCTTTTCCGGCAACTTTGCCTTACTTATCTCCGACAAGTTCATGCCAACCATAATTGAGCTAATAGAAAAAGCACCAGCAACATCACTAAGTAGGCCAACCATTAATCCTTTCCAAACAAAATTAGTCTTTCAGTCCTCCTCTGCCGAGATCAAAAGTAGCTACATGAATCTCTTCTCCAAATCAAAATATGTAGATATAATTTTGCACTCCAAACATAGAAGGAGAGAGTTAAGAAGTGTTTATCGGCTTAACGTACCTCAGAAAGGACTCTCCGAAAAGAATGGCTATATCATCAGTCCGATTGCAGCCTGTGGAATCCTAGTCTAGTAGAAAAATCAAGATAAATGCTCACAAGTCTTGGCATATCGAGAGCGAACAAAACATTTCGCTGTCCAATAAAGAAGAAGAAGACTTAAGAAAAATATCACAGAAACAAAATTAATACTATTCTGGTCTACTTTCTCTTTAAAGCGCCACCATTTACTCAGACTTCTACAAGTTAGTTAAAGATATTATATGCCAAAGCCTGGGGTTTTTGGATGATGTACCTATGTGCATTAAAGAAATTTTGAAAACCGCGCACTGTGCGGCGTGTTCGATACGCTTCTCAGGCTGCCAATGAGCGAGAAAAAAAAATTGCATAAATAAATTATTTTTATAAATACATAAAAAAAGACACATATGTTCATATGTGTAGTACAACAGGCGCTGTATATTTTTATATACACAAACAAATCAGAATAGAATAAAAAAAATGTGCTAGCAATAACAACTATTTAGACTCAGCGCGGCTTTGCACCTAAGCTTGATCAGTAGTTGAGCGCTTTTTATCGAGTCTCTTATGAGCGTAGCCGAAAGAACGCCTCAAATCAGCTAAAGCTTTAATATGCTGAAAGTCGAAGACTAGTTGAATATGATTTAGAATTTAAGCTGTCTGAGGCTTGTCTATATTTGTCTTTTGCAGGGGAATTCTAAAAATATACAGGTACACGAAAAACAAACATCGCTTAGTTGAAGTGACAGCTGGCCGCTGAGAGTCGGTACTGAAGCTTAATACCGCCGCATCAAAGCGCGCTAACTGCGCCCTTTTGACCAACTATACTCAATTTTATTGTAACGCTTTTTTCGCTGTTTTTTTTTTGTCGTATTCATTCAAACGGGGTTGTCGTGATTGCGTGCGCTCTCCAAGGTGTCATTCATTAAGCGGGGGTGCTTGCGCTAGCCTATGGCAGCCACTAGCCTATGACGGGCTTTCACAGTTTAGCAAATATTATAATGCTTGGGGTTTTTCTCTTAGTCGCCCTATGTACCGCAGACAATGCCGCGCGCGCCCGCCCGCTCTAACGTCACACCCGTACAATCCAGCGTGCAAACACCTCCGCTTGCAGGTGAGACAAGCCATCGATCGCATTGGCGTTTAGCGGCACGCTAACATTATTTAGCTGTGTCATGGAAGCTGGAGCGACTAGTTTTAGAATGACGCGCTTTGTTGGCGGTGTATTCGGCGGAATTCACTCCGCCAGCGGCCAGACTGCTTGATTGATCTGATTTCGATGGAAGCGTACGCGGAAGTCAAGGCTGTGAATGTGATACAAGTAGATCAAATAGGCTAAAAATAACTACAATTTTGAAGTTTCAAAAGCATTTTCCTTTCAATACAATACAGAACTAGTGCAAATATAAAAGTGAGTGATTATTTGAAGAGTGAGCTAGGAAAAAATATAGATATTTGTGTAACAAACGCATTATCAATGTAGTCATAAGTGTATAGAAGTTGAAGACCATAAAAAGATTATCTTACGCTTAAATTGTAAAAATTTATAACTCTTTCCCATATGTCTCATTCCAGTTAGCTCAAGCAAATTGCTTCTCTTCACCTAAAACTCTGCCGCAGTTGCAGCTGACAACTGTGACAAACCCATCAACGCCGATGCAATCCTCTGCGCAGCTGTTGCCTTCACTTAAGGTGGAACAAGCAATTCCCGCAAACACATTTCTCGAGCCATCTCCCTCGTCGTCTGCGTCATCTTCCTTCGGTGATCCTTTTGCCGCCTACGCCAACAATTTCGATCTATCACTACTACCTCAAGATTGCGTTTCGACAACTGGCCATATACCCACCATTGTATATCAATTTGCTTGCAGTACGCCAACGACACCGACATCGCCACCAACAACAACTACAACATCAACAACAGCGCCACCTGCTACAACAGCTACCAACTCCTTATTAACGCCGCCCCAAATAAAAATCGAACAAGGTTGGTCATTCGGTTCCTCTATCTCCCTACCGGAGGAGATCAAACGGGAGCCACAACAACAACAGCAACAACAACCGATGCTAAATTCACCCAATCAGCTAATACCACCACCTCCATATCCACACATTTATCCGTCACCTCAATCGAGCCCCGCTCAGTCGGAATACGGTTTTCCACAAGCACAATTTGCCAGCTGCTACGAGTCGTTAAGCTCAACGCGTTCATCGCTGCAGCCCGCTTCGCCGTATCCTTCGTTAGATGCGTGCAATATTAAACAAGAATTGCATATTCTGCCACCATCGCCGCCAGAGTCCAATTGCGAAGCACCATCACCGCATTCTTCGTGGGTCGATATCAAATCGGAGCCCATCGATGCTGATGTTGAGACCTTGATTGACTTGAATATGTTGCTCGATAAAAAGGAATTCACTAGCGTAGCTTGCAGCGATTACAAGCACAGCAACAACGCGTGCGCAGTGAAACAAACGGAAATGTCTGTGGAGCAACAACAGCAGCAGCAACAACAACAAAACAATCAACAAAGTCAAGATCAACAAATGCTCCGTGAGTTCTTTGAAGATAACCGATTTCGAATGGGTTTTGGCAGCATGGACGAAGTTAGCGGCAATATCGAACAAGTTATCTCAATGGCTCTAGAGGATACGAAGAGCCAGGCAGTGGAGACCTGTGCCAAACTGCAGATATCTAAAGGTAAGTTAAGCTCCGTTTTACCACATAAGAACTGATCGGTAAACAGTTTGTGATTAACCAAATCTGGTTGATGTTTAGAAAAGAAAAGCGCGGAGGAGTCTTATTCGAATTATTTTTGATAAATTCCGATAAGATATTTATCGTTGTCTTTTTTACGGTGTGTGTAGTAAGGTACACAGCCACTTCCTTTCCTTTACGGCTACAACTTCTGTCTGATAAACGCTGCAGTGGGCCGGAATTCGTACGGATAATCCTAACCCCTCAGAGAAAACCTCATATCATAAAATTTAATTCCCCTCTTTTCCATGGTCCCTATGTCTTCCACTCTCTCTTGTCGGGATTTTCATCTTGAAGAGCCAGTCGAAGGTGGGTTCAGAGGCGGAGTAGTCGATTTCTTGAAAACAACTATACATACAGTGTGTGAAGTATAGACATGGCCAAATCGCCGACCCCTCCATAACGCCAGACTTTTTAGTCTGAGCGCCGAAGCGGCGGCCACGTTTTTCCTTACCAGATTTACAGCAGGTAAACTTGCTATCACCTCTAACGCCTTGTATGGGCTGGTCTTTAAACTGCCAGAGATGTATTGTATTGGGTAACTAGCCTTTTGAATTGATGTCCCTACTACCGAAGTGTAAAGCCAGGTGTCAGCCCACATTTGTTTCCAACCGCTTGCTTGCATGTGTATAAAGTAACATTGGTCTTCTTAACTTTGTCCTCTATATTAGCGTTCTACGTTGGCTTCCTATCTAATAAGATCCCTAATTACTTCAGTTTTATCGGGGTTCATTCCGAGTGCCCTACTCTCTGTCTATTAGGGGATTCGACATTCTTTGACAGTCGCTAATTTTACCCAAATGCTCTTTTGAAAGTATAGCTAGCTACCTAACCCCTCTCTACTCGACATTACTCTTCTCCCTAATTTTGAAGCCAAAGCTGATGCCTAAGTGTTCCGCTTCGAATTAAAGGTTCAATTTACTCCCCTTCAGTCTTCAGGGGTAAAATGTAAAGTATTTAACTCTTAGCCCATTTCGTTTTGCTCATTTAAAAAATTAACCCAGCTCCGATCCCATCAGCTCGTTAGTTTTTAGCAAGAATGGTTGGTTATAAGGTGCGACCGAAGGTACTTCAATATGTGTAAGCCTCACGAAAGCTGATCAAACTTACTATTGGAAAGGGTTGAGGTTATTCCACCTAATAAATACCCGCCAGACAGCTGTTAGACTACAGATTAGATATAATTACAAAAACCGAAAGTCTGTGCCTTTGCAAACATATGGAGCTCCTTTGACCGTCTGCCGATCCAGACTGCCTCAGAAGGACCCCACGATTGCGCATGTCCTAGTTTTTGCCCAATAAAACATCCTTAACTGATGTGAAGAACTCTTTGAAACCACTAAACTCTTATCGCCATTTTGAATAGCACACTCCAATATGCACTTACTCACTTGTTCGTTTTCTTTTAGATCCCTGCGACTGGTCGGTATCTCAAGTACATTCTTGGCTACGTTCTACAGTGGCACAATTCAAATTGCCCGAAATCGTGAATTTGGAGCAGAAATTTTCCGAAACTGGTTCAGCATTAATTTTGCTCAGCGAGGATGAATTCAAGCAAAGAGTGCCAGAGGTGAGTAACAAATGAATAAACAAAATAATTTAAATCGAAATGAGCAACTCGATGGAAAAAAGCTATTACACATGAGCATTTCTGGGTCCATCAAAGATTATAGCCAATTACAGACAAATTCATAGTAAATTTATATTATGCAAGACCATCTCGTTAGGCTAGTTGTGTACCTTAGTGGAGCACATGAAAATTAGTAACAGAAATAACTAGCATTTCTGCTATACAAATGCTGTACGTTGTACGGGTAATAGGTATTTGCCCCAAAAAATACAGTTAAAAGGGAGCTTACTAAACAGTGCGAGGGTGTCCGAGATGAATTGAGTGTATCGAATGAAAATCGGCCATCAATACAAGACTAAGAAATGAATGAGGCAGAGCGAGCATTTAGTTGGAAAAAAAAAAACAAATAAAAAAAAAGAAAGACTAGCTTGTTAAAGCGGCCACAAAAAAATTAAATACCAAATATATAAATTCCAAAGAGTTACAAAATCATAAAACCTAACTTAATAAATTTGTACAAAAATGGATAGAAAAACAAATTTACAAATAAGTATAAATAGGCATGCATGTTCAACAACAATAACAACAACAACAACAAAAATACAATGTAAACGAAGAGGGGACGCGAGAGAATTGCAGAAACAAGTTTCGTAACTGCGTTGACGTCATTTACTTCGTTGAGACATCTGCTGAAGGGGGGCGCGGATGATACGCCCGTCCAAACACACACAGACACACACACACACACCTCCGTATGCTTAAGCGCACGCTAGTGTATGCTCGCTCAAAAAAGCAGCAGCAACGACGCGCGGCTAAAAGCCATAATTAAGCCAAAAAAAACAACAACAAAAGTTAAATGGCAAGTTGCCGCAGCATACTAACTATTAGTAAGCTTTTAACGCACCTTAAAGCACATTGGACACTAACGAAGGGAGAGGTAGGCCGAATGTGTTAAATTTATTTTTGGACCAGCAAAATGGAAGTTGAAAAAGAAATGTTAACGAAGAGCTGAAGAAAATAAACATACATACTTGTAAAACAGATATGTAGCTAGGTGGAAGTGTGAGAGCGCGAGAGTTTGCGAAAAAGAGGCGAAAATGCTATGGAGAAAAAGTAAAATTGTTGCTGCCTCCAATATGTTTTTTGTTTGTATTTTTTTTATTATCTGTTCTATAAACGGGTATGCAAACGAAAGTAAATGAGTAGCACAAATTGTGTTATAAACAAGTGCAACTACAAACATTGCTGACATTTGAAGTAAAGAGTGTTGCCACATATTGCATTTTAGACACTGAGAAATGCTAATTCCTAGCAGTGAGTTCAATGAATGGAAAACGAATGTGAATTCGAGTACAATTACGAATAGAAATACGAATATGACAAAGAAACGATATGTACAAAGTTATCGGGCGAGGATAACGTTTAGTACTTGTCCCTAGCAAGATTCAAGTATACCTGATAGTTCTGCACCTGCTGCTCTATGAAAGCTACGCAGTTTACTTTAGTGTGACCAAACTATGGCAACTTATGTTAGAATTTATCGTGCAAATACAAAATGTAAGACCTTGATTTCATTACAAGAAAAAATCGCTTTCAGGCTTCTCAGTAAATTCCGAAAAGATCTACGTGGATAACACAGTTAAAGCTCCTTCCTCTTTTTTGTCTTTCACATTACGTCACAAGTCAGGATCCAAGAAGTCAAGGTTCTAATCTGAGTACGAAATTTTAAGACCTGCTTCCATATTGCAACCCACTCAGATAAATATCAATAATCTTATGATGAAGTAAAAATGTTGATATTTAAATTTAGGGATACAAAGCATTCGTTATTCCTTCGTTATTAAATTTGATGCAGGAGCGCTAAAGAAAAAACTTTCTCACTATAATAAGGTCAATAATCCTGCGTTGTATTTTAATTCATATTTTAGAAAAGTGGCCACACTTAATTGAACGCTAGACACCTATGTAGACTTGATTAAAAAAAAAGGTATTAAAAACTAAGAAATAGCATAGCCGAAAGAAAAACTACAGAGCGAAACCGGCAAAAGCGCCTACAAAAACAACAAAGACATACTTTCGACAGCAATGAAAACAATCGCGATAAAAACGACAACAACCGCATATCGGCTGCCAATCTTTCGGAAGTGCAGAAGAGGAAGAGCGCAACGCACAGTAGCTTCAGCAACAGCAACAGATTGACCGCGATCACGTCAAAGGCAAGCAAACAAGCACCAACCAACCAACCAACCAACCAGGCCAACCAGCCAGCCAGTTGAAGAAGAGCACGCGCGCAGAGTGACCAGAAGCAATGCAATCGATAAAAAAGCGAAACGAAAAAAATCAGTAACCGTGGTCATGGACGAAGGTGAAAAAGAATGCGAGTGTGAAGGTTGTTTAGTGAAATTGTAACTGCCGCTATCGTATCGTCCCCTGCACGTTGACGACCATCCAGGGGCATCAGGGGTGGCGACTCAAAGGCCGTTCGTTGTTGTTGCTTTGCTGTCATGAGCCAGCTGGAAAATTATTATGCGCCGAATTGTGATAATTTACCAAATCTTATGCGATGTGCATAACACACGAAAACCATCAACAACAATAACTCAGCGCCACAAAGTCCGAGATGGAGTCAGAGTCAGAGTCAGAGTGAGAGGAGACACAGACTCAGCGTGGTTGTGCGGTTAGTTGCTGAGCGGCAAATTGTAAACCACAGCGCTCCACTAAACCAATGCAAGCGATATCAGCAAAAACAAGAAAAAAAAAACCATTACACATCGCATGACGATGACGATGTGGAAATAAAGTAACTGAGCCAACGACCAGCAACGACATTGCAAGGTGAAAGTGAGCCGACTATGTCATTGTGGTTGTTGTATTGTTATTGTTATTGTTTTCAATTCGGCTACGCTATATATGTACATATGTACATTGTATTGCGTGTCTTTTGGAGGCTAAAGGCTCTGTTATGCATACTTGGCATTGCTTGAGAGTTGT